CTTGCCACCCGGGCTCTTCAGTCCCAGGAGTGCTTTTGAACTGACCATTTAGACAACTTTCCAGACACAAAAGAATTTGGTCGGTATTGAAAGATACGATCATAAATGGCCTTGATTCTTCAGTTAGGTACATTTTTTGGACAAACACTGTACATTTCTAAACTCTTGAAGAAGAGAAGAGTGAATGTTAATGAGCGGACGTGGCCCGAAACTACCGAGTCTCAATCCAAAATTGTAAATGAAGCTGGGGTGGCTTCCTAGTTCTACTTCCAGCAGAACAAGGGGGTCCCCACCCTTACACATCCGTTTGCCCCGCAGTTGAAAGTTCATGTCTGTCTTTAGAAGTTTTGCCTCTGTGACATAGAGATCCCTGTGACATAGAGATCCCTGTGACATACAGATCCCGCTCGCTAGGGAAGTGCATACCCGTCGTGATGTCAATCTCAGGCACTTTTCTGGGTTTTGTTTCTGCCTCACTCGGAATAGGATTTGGGGAATGGCAGTCCTGGGGGTGGGGGAGTTAGGAGGGAGAGAAAACTGGGAGCAGGGCTTTGACCTGCCGGAGAGGAGCCCCTGCTGACACGGTCAGTCTGACCCATTGAATGGCCTGAATACGATAAATGCTGCTTTATCCTGCCTTGAAAGGCACGAGATAGCACAGTCTAAATGCCTGGGCATGCTTAAATAGGCAACTCGGGATGTTTGAGTTGAGCGTGTTTGAAATCTGAGCTCTCTGACAGCCTGGGAGCTGCCACAGGTCACCTGCCTTGCTCCGCAGGGACAGGCCCAGGTCTCACAAGAAATTGTCCGTAGACGAATTGTAGTACAAATTCCTTTCTTTGTTGCTTGGCCTCTTTCACTAGACCATGGCCTATAAAATTTTGTAAAAACAATTCTAAAATATTATTTGAAAGGGCAAATGGCCCACGCTGAAAGGCTTGACAGTTTGACATATAGAGCACAGTTTTGATAGCTCGGAAACTGAAAAGTGTGGCCAAGATTCTCCCCCTGCTTGTTAGAAGCCTGGTGTTTTTTAAACAGTGTCTTGTTGCCACACAGAGTTCCCCTGCTCCTAGCAAGCTGACAGGCAATGCGCCTGCTTCAGTGATCTTCAGTCCTTTCGGGCTCATTTGGGGGAGAGCTGGAGAACAGCTAGCACCTTTGAATCCAGCGTCCAAAAAGCACAGAACTAGGTATCGCCCATTAAGGAGCCATTTGGATACTCTTATCAAAGCAGATCGCTTTGGAGCCTGCTGAGAACAGCCAGAGCCCGGGCCTAGAGAGAGAGAGAGGAGTTTCCCTTCAGTGAGGGGAAAGAAGGGATTTGAGTGGCCCAGTCTCATCAGAGCCTGCAAGTGGCAGGGAAGCGGATTTCTGCATTAGAATGTTGCATATGAGCAGCGGGCCTGTGCTCAGCGCCCGGCCGCCTCTGCATAGCCAAAGGCCATTTTCAGGAGCCTCTGGCCCCTCAGTCACTGGCCTGCTAGTTAATTGCCACACGGACTTCATGACACATGGGCAGATAATATGACATTTTCGGTTTCTGTCACTAGCAAACGCCACAACGTCGCTTGCACTAGTTGCTAAGAAGCTGTCAGAAACCATTAGCAATTGGCTAAAGTCGCCCTATGGCATTTCCTCATAGCATCAGCGAAACGAGCATAAATCACCCACTGGAGCCCACTGCTGTCCTAATGAGGCCGTAAGCTTGTTTATGGACTAGCATCATTTTTATGATTATTTCCACCTTTTCAGTTTGCCTTCATTTGGCGGCAGGAGAAGTCAGCTCCAAGAGTGAAGTCACTGCTGACATTTTACAAATGTGGTTCAGAGCTGTGGCCTGCTGCCGTGTGGTCGGCCGGCGGTTCTCCAAGTTTGTTTAGTGATCTTAAAAATAAAAAAAGGAAATAAATCCTCCAGAGACCGCAGAGAGGTGACTGGATCCAATTGCAGTGTGAATGGATACGCCGAAGGTACAATTGACCATTTAGACCATCCTCTGAGGTGGGGACGCTGGGAGATCAATTTTCAATCTTAGAAAGTGGGAGAGGTTAAACAATTTATTAAAATCTATGAAAGTGTTTGCTTTTAGAATAGTCTGTTTTATTATGCTCTTCTCCTTCCCCATCTTCTCCATTTCCCTAACTTGTGTCGGGAAGGAGCAGGGTTTATTGTTTTAGGCTTTTCTGAACATGCACCAGTATTTACACTGGATTGAAAGCATTTGCTTCCAATGAAAATCTTGTCTTAGATTACAACCCAGCAGTGTAATTTCCCTCCCAGATGGGAGTAAAGTAGCTGTATTTGCCTAAAAACAGTAGGAAGAACAAACTGTGCATTAAGCCAAGGCTGTTTTTGGCTTGAGCTAATGATGTAATAGAAACCTTTTATTCGGGAGAGGTCACTGGCAGGGACTGAAGGGGGTGATCTGGCTCCTGCTTGAAAGGTTTCTCCATTGTATCTACATAAGTCTTCACTTAAAAAATTCTGTTCCTAATGCTTCTGCTTTCATACAGCAGAAATAAACAGGAAAGGTTCTGGCGAGTGTTACACATGGAATGCAGAAAGCCTTCCTCTCCTAATGGAGTATATAATTCAGGTGCCCTCAAGGCACGCTTTCAGGAATTCTTTTGCCCGAGGTAATGGGAAGCTAAGGCTGCTTTAAGGCCTTGATTATCTATTGATGCACAAAGCTGGAAAAAAGTCATCTCTGCTGGATTATAGTAGATATTTCCATAAATTATCAATGAATTCTCTTCTAGGCAGGCACTAGGCATTGCCTGCTAAATTAATCTGAGGGGGTTTTGAGATGGATAGAATGGCTTTTTTTTTTTTTTTTTTTTAGGTGGAAAACAATCATGGTGGTGAAAAACTGTGTTGTTAGGTTAGAAGCTTTTCATTTTTAATCAATGATCAAGTAATATGCTGCTTTTCCTTGGTTACCTTTTGCATATTGCAAGTGGATTAGCCCATTGAAAATTTAAATGCTGTTGAGTTGTTTTCTTTGCTCATGTTTCTTTAATGAATTGTTATTTTATAGGGTGAGTTGCTTCTCTGAATAAAAAGCCTCTTTAAATACTGGACTTACAAAGAATTTGTTAGGCAAATCCGAGGGGACACCTTCTAAAACACTTGGTTATGCAAATAAAGAGTTGGGTGGGATGGAAAGAGAACTGATTTAGGGATGGGGGTGTCTGGTCCAGCACAGACCCACCCTCTCCGTCCCAGGCTGGATGACCTTGGGCAAGTTACCCAACAGGAACACACACACTTTCCTCATTGATACACTGAGGGCTTTGGAACTGGGGGTCTTTATGATCTTTTCTACTGAGAACACAACTATGATTCTGTGGGAACTTCAACAAAAATATATGGATTTTAAGTACAATGAAATTTATGGATTTTTAAATTAATAAAAAGTAAACTCTGAAAAGTTCTGCAAGTATTTTGTATGTGTGGCCTATTTTGCAGTCATAGCAGAAGTGTTGCAATCAGTCTGTTCTTCACCCAACAAAGTTTTAAAACTTTAACTCAGTACAAGTCAAGGCAATTTGGGGGCAATTTTCTTTTCTGGAGGGGAAGTGAGGGTCTTCTGAGGGAGCTGTTAAAAACAGTTGATTAATAGTAACATAACTACTATAGATTAGACTGAAATTAAAATAGAGAACCCTTTTTGTATGTAGTATATTGAGGTTAACAGAAATAAGGAATATGGGAATTCATGAAGCAATATACAGTCCCTGGGAAACTTGTCTCACCAAAGTACCAAGTTCTTTGGGCCACGCAAGCTGCCCGCCAATGACTTACCTGGCCCAGTGAGTGTGCCCTCAGGGGCATTTGTTAGGTCATTGCTAAGCCTGGCTGCTGTAGCTCTTCTTTCTGGGCCCAGGTCAACCTATCTCTTTCTAAAAGCCAGTAGCTTCCACCAAGAGCTGGGACTCCAGGTAGAGAAGCATGTTTGAAGCCACTTTTCAGTGTAGGGGGTTTAATTCACTGTTGTTTTTCCTTTGACTTTTGCACCAAATGCAAAGTGCCTACTGTTTGTTTGTACCTTATGACTTATTTTGGACAGTGTGATTATATTGTCTGAATTTTTTCTTATTAGACGTGGCATTGTAAAAGAAATCCTACATTTTAAAGTTTATTGTGTCACAGAGCCAAAACATTTTCTAGAAGAAGCAGCTTAAATGTTCTACCAAAAATCAATGGAAAAATAGGATCCAATCTGCAGGCATGGATAAGCAGGTGGCTTTTCAGTATGAAAAATTTAAATGCAGAAGAAATTTTAGAAACTGCCTGGATGACTTAGGGTAATACAATTCCAACTGACTATTAATTTAACATCACTTTATTTGATTTACATAGCTATTGTTTTTTACTTAAAAAACAATTTTGGGAGGTTTTTTTTTTCCCCTTACTAAACCTGATGCTCTCTTTCTATGACAAGAAAAATTAGATTCTATTCGAAGCATTCCTGTGTCAAAACTGCTTGTATGACGGATCACCTACATTTCCATGGCCTAATTTAGTCTTAAGATAGATCATTTGTGGAAATAGTTGGTATCTCAAATGCATCTTCTCCCAAATTGACATCAATGACTATATGTGGGATTTAAATACCCGGGCAGGGACCAAACTCTGCTAATGGCTGCCACCATACTTAACTCCCCAAAAGGAGTTACATTTAGCATGTCACACACATGTCAGCTACACACATTTGAATAATTACCGCAGCAGCAGAGCTACTAGAGAGATTGGATATTTCCCTCCATTCCCTCTGACCTTTTGGAAGCAGTTCCTTAGACCTGACCACTTGTGAGCCTAGGCCTTGATATTTCTCTTTGTCTTGACAAAAAAAAGAAAGAAAGAAAAAACAGTGCCGAATAAACTATTACTCATTTATATTGCTCTTTTTGGTTTTGTTTATATCCAAAGGAATTCTATTTGAATAAAGCATGTCAAGGTAGCATCAGTCAAAATTTGATTCACTATGTTTGCAGGTGATGGCTTGGACAACAGTGTAGCTTCCCCCAGCACAGGTGACGATGACGATCCAGATAAAGACAAAAAGCGTCACAAAAAGCGTGGCATCTTTCCCAAAGTAGCCACGAATATCATGAGGGCGTGGCTGTTCCAGCATCTAACAGTAAGTGGACTCTAAATGACATATGTAAACTAAATATGGACAGTTTTGATAGAAAGAAAAAAAATGGGGGAGAAATGATCCCTCTGGACCTGGAATATTTCCTCATTCACTGTGTTCCCACAGTTTTCACAAAAAGTGTCCGCACGTATTCCCTGGATACCCACCCGCAAGGAGGAGTTTGATTTGAAATTCGCTGTTGCAGCGTTAACTCGCGTGCGTCCCGAGGCTTGGGAGTTCGTGCGCACGTGCGACCTTAAGCATGTATGTTAACGATGTTGCTTCTCTCAGGGTGCCTCGTAAGTACTCAGAGCAGCTCCCACCAAGGAGCGAGTGAGGCAGACCCCAGAGAGAGGGACTCAGTTCCTCCTAATGCATTCGTGGACCTTTATAACGAATGGTCCGCAGAAATTTCAATCTTGTTGCAATGGCAGGATGCTCACATAATTTGCTTTTAAGTGGTTTGAATGCACTGGCTGCCATTCCCAAACGCCCCCATGAGTCAGAGCGGCACAGTGAAAGTTGTCCCTGTATTTAGAACTGTAAAGGAAAACAGCAATATAGAGTCGGCTCTTCCTGTGCAGTCCCTGGTGACTTTTCAAGCAGAGTAACAGTTTATATTGTCTGTGCGAGTATTGCTGTTTCACTGCAGGAATTCTCCTGGAGATGTGAGAAACTGGGGATTTGGGGCTTTCTGCCACCGAGGGATTTGTTTTATTTGGTTATTGTTCTGAATGAATTTCATGTTCAAAATATTTATAATCATAATATTGCGGTGGGTATTTTTGCAAGTGCATACCGATTTAATGACATCTGAGGAAGACGATGAAATGGAAATATTTATGAGTAAAATAATGTTTTAAAAATCAGCAAAAATTGTCTACCAGGGGGACTCTCGCTCTGAGGGACAAAGAATGAATTTAAACAGGTGGTGGCACAGCCTAGCCTAAGATGAAAGAATAGTAAGAATCTTGGCCTTTTAAAAAATATTAGGAGCAAGCCTTTTAGGTTACTATTTTTAGCAGCATCGTTTACTTTTCTTAAAGCCATCCATTTTTCTAAAGTATCAAAGTTAATTCTGCATTGTCACAAACGTGTCCTGACCTGTTGACCCTACACCCTCGCCCACTTTCAAAGCCATGGTCCTCGGTGACTTGTTCTGATACAGGGAGACAAACGGGATGGCGGAAGGCCACACCGGCTTTCCTCCTCTGGACAGAGGCCGTGCCTCCAGGAACACTCGAGGGTATAAATTAATCCAGAGTTCCCAGCATCCGTGAATAAAATCAAAGCTGAGAGCAGCGGGAGTCACTAAGAAAATGGTTTCCACCCTTCCCTTCTTCCCACGCTGGTTCCAAACAGTTGCTGGAGGCTGCTGACAGTTTTGGAATCAGCTGTAGGGGCTGGTGAATGCCGCTAGTTAGCCGAAGATTTAGATCGCTTAGCTGATTTGGGCCTCATGTTAGGTTTACCTACAACGTGATTCAGGTGCTCTTATTTATCTGACACTTGTTGCTGCAGGTGGCTAGGTGGAGATCTGCCTTATGCACGTTTGCTACTGAGGCTTATCAAGCGCTTCTGAATGGGAGAGAGAGGAGAGGGTCTAGGGGCATTTAAAATCAGCAGGAGATGGAAGTGATAGTTGCTGATATTTCATCGTGCGCACTAACCAGCTAACTGATCTAGAGAAAGAGTGGGGGGAGGGACAAAATCAGCCCGACCCTGAAGTCACAACCAAAATATGTTTTTTTCCTGTCCTAACAGAAAAAGTGTATAGGTTTTGTCAGCCTCCATCTCAGGCAGCAAAGGAGCTTTGGCTTTATTTGCAGCTCAGGTGCCCCTGAATAAAATATAGTCAAATATTGGCTCAGACGGAATCGGGAGAGAGAAGCAAGTTCGTTTATGCATCCATCAGGTTTCCTCGGTTATGCCCTTGTGAGGGACCTTGCAGAGGGCTGTAGTAACTTCTTTGAAAAACAAAAAAAAAATCTGTTTTAACAGTCAGCATGATTTTACCTGCATTGCAACGCTCTTAGTGGTCCGTGTTATCGGGGTGATTGCAATAGAAATTATTCATGAACTGCTGATCTCCTTCACTGTTGGGGTCTGTGTTGGCCTCTGTCACCACCCCAGAAGGGGAAACCCATGTCCATGTCTCCCTGGCTCTCTATGAATGCTCAGGGATGTCACCTCGATTGTTGGATAGTTCCACACGTTGCTGCCCCATTCCGCTGCCATCTGCTCAGACAAAAATATTGATAACGATCATGGTCTCTAAAAAGAAAATGCTCTCATAATATCATCTAAAAAAGCAAAGTTAGTAGCTATATTTAAATTTTGCCCCCTCTTTCCTTTCCCCAGTGAGAAAGATTCCCTTCTCTTTTCTCTAAATGCAAGAGCAAATAGATCTCCAATTACAAGGAACACCGCTCTCCTTGTCTTGTTACACTTCTTGAAGGAATGCACAGACTGCTTAGGTAATATTTAGAGTCAGGAGATGATTATAATAAATTCTGTGGAAAAACTTACAGAGTTTAAAGAGAGTTCTGTTGTGATTTGTCCAAATGTAAGTAACTACTGACATTTCAGTACTAATCCTTCAGCAACTTTATTTCAAGTTCTGAGAGGTCTCCAGGGATGCACAATTGATTTGGAAGGCTGTGCAAATTTTAAATGTAACACATTCTTGCCTGATGATTAATGCAACTTATCTAGAAAGTTCTTTCTTAAATCTTGCTAGATATAAAAGAGCGATGGAAACTCTGGCTAATTAAAACAATAGCAATAACAATTTATTAGCAAATTGTAAAAACTAATCTAGTATATGCCCAATACATATTATAAAACCTCACACACCTCTTTAAAAGCAAATTGCTATTTTTTTTTTTTCTTTTTCAAATAAATGGGTCAATCTTTTCATTGGGCTTATTCAGTTTAAAAAAAAAAAAGGTCTGCCTTTGAAAAGGCTTTCAGGCATGTATGTGTTAGAGCAGTGGAATAGGCCCTGAACAGAAAACAAAAAACTTCCTGGATTTGCACCCCAGCTGCATAAGAAAAATGTGTCGTTCTGTAGTTATCCGCAGGTAGATTTAATCAGTAGCGCATTTTACTACTCCAAGGAGAGAGGTAAAGCTTCATTCTTGGACTCGCAGTCTCTAGCAAGCTCAACTGGACATACTTGTGCATAATGAAAACAATAAAAGAGAAAGGAAACAGATTTTAAACTTTGGCGATATGGGGTAAAAAGAAATTTCCCTGATGTAAATTTGCAGCTTAGACTATTTCGTTGAACGTTTGCCAGTTTTGATAACTAGAGAAGGTCTCTTAAAAGAAACTATTCACTGGAATTGAAAAGAATGACTGGCATTTAGATAATAAGAGAGAATTAGAAAATAAAAGCATTTATTAATTGAAATGCTTGCATTTGCCTGAAGACAAATTATTGCAAACAATTAAAAAGTACTTAATATTGGCATATGAGTCACTCTACAGCGACAGTCAGTTCAGGGGCATATGCCACATCAAGGCTTCTTTTTCCTCCTGAAGGGTATCATTCCAACTGTAAATATAACCTGCTGTGTCATAATGTTTAAGCTGGATGTGCTTTGCATATTAGCTGTTATTTCACTACATAGTGTTACAAAGACATGCCCTGGTGAAAATGAGGAGAAGGTATAAAGACAGTGTTTAAGGTAAAAATCAAGGGCCTTTTTTCTTTTTGTTTTCCTACCCTAACATATTGCAATTTTAAATATAATCTAAATAGAAAAGCGGTTAATATGGTTCTTATTTAAAATATGCAGTGACATGTTTTCCTGCATGGAGCTGCTGTGTGTCCCAGGAATCCTGAAAGTTAGAAGAGTGGAGGTTATTAAAATGCATCCCTGCAGATTAGGGCAAGACACCATTCAAGGGCTGACACATCTGGCTGGCACTGACAGTAGGGAGGCGATCCTGAAGGTGAACTGATTTTCATTCCCATTCTCTTGGATTCCCTAGCCTTTCACTGATCTTGAGGATCCCGTTGGCTACCATAGAGACAAACTTTGTTTTAAAGTCAGATACACATATTTTGCTATTTGGTTTTATTTTGTTTGTTTTCTTGTTGTGAACTTCTAGCCTGGAAACAATTTTTGTGTGTGTGTCTGTGGCCAAATTTATGTCTCGACTTCTTATTTATAAGACTTTCCTCTCAATGTGGATAAAGCCAAAGTGAGGGGTTGTAGAGTCTTCCAGGTTGAGAATGGTGTTTCCATAGAAACACTATTAGATGAAAAGTGCCCTGCAGGTCTGCCATTCTAAGGATGCAGTAAATGGAATTGAATTGGGAATTGAATGCTCTAGAAGAGACAGATGTTGTTTCATTGGTTTTGCTTTTGGTAATAAGATCTGTTGGAGACATCTTAGTATCATATCTCTGCTTGCAGTTCTGGAAGAATTGATCTCAAAACATTACGCATTATTATTGCAGTGAAAAAATACTTCTAATTGGTATCCAGATAACCCATTCTGTGGATCCAGGTGAGTGAAAGACCGGAAGGTGGATAGGTAGGCATGGAGTCGGGCGGAGGAAGGAATTTGCTCCTTTCCTCTCATTTCTGTCTCTCTCTGTTCCTCACCTCTAAACTCTGCCAGATTTAACAATGAATCTTGTTTTCGTGTCTTACCAGCGAGCGTCCCTTCAGCTACCATTAGGCCTCAGAGGGTAGTGGACCGGAAGGCTGTATTCTCAGCTCTTGCCTTCAACGTCAGTCAGGGTGTAGTACAAAGTATTACCTTCAGACTAGCCCTGGCCTATCTTCCTGAGCCAAGGACGTTTTTGGTGGAGACGGCAAGCTAACTGTGATTCCTTCCTCACTACGAGATACCTGCAGATATATTATTAAATTAGGAGACTTGAAAACTAGTATGAAGGAGTGAGATTTTTTTTTTTTTTTTGTCCTTCCAGATGTCTATGTACCATATCAAAACTGAGCTCTCTGAAATCTGTAAGGTCTTTGTAG